GGCTGTTCTCAGTCGAGATCGTCGTAATCAAAGGAATGCGTCCAAATTATCCAATGCCTCCAAGTAAGCTATGGTTGTGCGTTTTGCAAAATGCCTGTGTTCGCCACCGAAGTTCGTAACTAAAACCGTAGTCTGGCCATTTCAGAGTTGAACGAGACTTCGAGCAACGGCCACTTCCCGATCAAGCAATAACGTCAGGTTACTTTCGGCGATGCCTGTAATCGACTACTCCCGTGCACACTCAACAAGCACGAAGATACTACTGCGAGGTGGCAACAAGACGCAATCATCGACTACGCGTAAGGCCACGCCACGATGTTCGTTCTCGATGTCGGAATCTGGAGAAACACAGTTAACAAAACTGACGAACAAATCACGTAGATTAATTATCGCTCCATACTCTTTCAGAAAATCCATGCCCAAAATGACCGGCTGAGAACAATTGGGCAGTACAAGGAATGATGCTACAAAAGCCGACGCACAAATCTCAAGCCTGGCGGTGCACCTTCCTATAGGGGATACGAGATGTCCTTCAGCGGTGATTAGTTGAGGGCTGTCCCACGTTGTCAGCACCTTGTGTAGACGGGTGGCCAATGAAGCGCTCATCACCGAGTAATCAGCTCCCGTGTCGACAAGTGCAGTCACCGGATAACAGTCGACGGAAACGGTAATGGCAGCGGACGTTCTGTTGGCGGTTTCACAAACAGGCTTTAACGGCACGTCGTAAGGCAGCGGCGGAGGGTATTTGTCAATTCGCGTGACAGCGGCCTCATCTCCAGAGGTCGCCGTTTTCAGTTTCCCTGGCGTGGGCTTGCGCCACTGACACCAGGGGACCCAAAGGCGGGTCGGGTGCGGTGCATTGATGTGGATGGACGGGGTGATCGTGACCGTTACTGTCGTCGCGGCGGGACAGGAGCGTGATGACTACCTTCCAAGTAATCCGCAATTTCTTGTAGGCGCTCACCATAGCGTGGACAATGTGCATCCGGGTGGAATCCTTGTAGGCCTATTCGTCGGTAGTAACAGTCGCGGTACATGTGTCCAACTTCGCCACAATGGTAGCACAAAGGACGATTGTCGGGTGCACGCCAGATGGTGGACTTCCGTGGGCCAGGACAAAAATCGGCCTGAGAAGGCAGGCGATGCGCTGGACTTGGAAAGCGTCTGGGGGTGGATGAGCAAAATGTGCCGTCGACGGCGTAGAGACGCGTATGGCATCCGCGTAGGAAAGCGTGAGAAGTTTGACTTGCGATGGTGGTGAGGAGTGAACGAATTGCCTGATTTCGTTACGAACGACGTCCGTAAGAGCAGCGCTACTGGGAGGGGACGCTGCATGAAATTTCCGAAGTTCTTCGCGTACAATTTGTCGTATGAGTTCTGTGAGGACCTCCCTGTTATAATCTCCTGGTACAAGCGAGCACGCAGCGGACATGGCCGTCTGACACTCATACTGCAACACCCTCTGCCGAAGCATGCGCTCCATAATTGTGGCCTCACGTATGAACTCGGACACAGTCGTAGGAGGGTTGTGCACAAGGCCCGTGAAAAATTGCTCCTTTACGCCTCGCATTAGCAGGCGCACTTTCTTGTCTTCTGGCATGTGGGGGTGAGCTTGTCGAAACAATCGCGACAATTCTTCGACAAACATGGCGACGCTTTCGTTCGGCATTTGAAACCGTGAAGAAAGTGCCTGCTCCGCTCTCTCTTTTCGTTCGGGGTTACAGAACGCCTGGCGAAGCTGCCGATGGAATTTCTGCCAACTTGTGAATGAAGTTTCGTGGTTCTCATACCACACTCTTGCCGCGTCTATAAGGGAGATATACACGTTCTTCAACTTACGGCGATTGTCCCAGTCGTTGATGGCAGCGACCCGGTCGAAATGGTCAAGCCAGTCTTCGACATCCTCACCGGCATCACCATGGAATGAGTTGGGTGTGTGAGGCGTGTTGATGACACAAGGTACGCTAGCGAGTGGGTCATGCTCGGTTTGGGTTGCGGATGTGGCAAACATTTTCACGGAACTTGCCAAGGGGCCGTACTGTGGTGGTAGTCCTTAAAGCCGGTGGCTGCTTCGATAGATATCAGCAGACCCTGGTGCACTGGCAGTGGTTGCAGTACAGTACCCAGCACGTCCACCAGTCTGTCACGAGAGGAAACGATAGGCAGGAACTCGAAGTGGAGGACTGTTTACTCAGCCACAGCTGCCATTCACTTCTTCGCTCTCGCCTTCTGCCACCAACACAGCGTGGCAATATATACATGTAGCTTCACTGCATATGCTCGTCCCTTTTACATTGACATGACTGAAGGAGCACACCGAGCGATTTCCGTAACTAGCGACATAACGCACCAAGAAATGCACAGAATGAAGAACCATGTGTGGACATTTTATCATGTAAAATGAAGAACAATATATACAGTAACCATAATATTTTACAGAAAATGAAATAAACTGTGAAAGCAACGTTTCACGCAGCAAAAAGACGCATGACATACCAGAATAGTGTTGATTATATTTTTTCAATTGTCATGAGGATTGTGTATACAGAGCAGCGGTCTTGTGGACCAGTGGTAGTCCCACTCGTTGCGGCTTCTTAAATTTTCAAATACGTGACTTCTTAAATTTTTCAGTGCATTATTCCAACACGTGAACGAAAAGAGGACAAAGACACCAAAAACTTGGGTAAGCCCCCTGTTTGAACTTTCTTTTACAAAAAGCATGCATGTCTTGCAAAGAGCTCCCTCCTGATATTTGGAACACACCAGCCAGGCAAACATTTCTAGCCAGAGAGGTTGGAACTTCAGTTAGTGCTGAGATAAAGGTGTAGTGCCTGGTTTCTATGGCGCTATAAGCAAACGTGTTCTCGTCGTCCTGCAACTTCTGGCGTATTGGCCGGTTGACACACGTAATGGCCAATGTTGTCAGAAATCGCAGTTTTCGTGCATGCATCATGCTCCGATCAAGTTTTTGGGAGTTCTTTCCACAGCCTCGTCGTATTCAGGCAGTGCAGAACTACACCTGGGAACCGTTTCTTTGGCAGCTGTAGCCTTTTCACCAGTTATCTAATGTGCACTGAGGCAAGCATCACCTTTCGAGAAATAATCGTTAAGCGTTACCTTATGGCTCATAGAAGAGCGCTGATTGACATAGAACACGAACTACCCACAAATACGTGTAGGCAGTAGTATATTTCAAAAGGGTGACTTCGCATTGCTAGGAAGCAATGCGCTCAGAAAAGTTCGGGCTAGGACACTAAATGCGAGAAACGAAAACTCTAGTGACGATACATGTCGGCTGGTAATGTTCTGTCTAGCGCTCGTTTCTCCCCTGTTGGAAAGATTTGCCGGTATACATTTCATACACTTCCCTTCAGATGCCGGTAAGGTCGCACTCACTTAGCATCTTACTCTGTGCGCGAAACATCTCGCGTTCGTGATTGCGCCCCTGCGGAAGGCTGGAAGGTCCTGTTTTGTTGTGATGCCATACAACAAACATGAATGAATATGAAGGTGTTGATACCAGCAGTGAAGTTCCTGTGACTCGCATCAGAATTCCTGAAACAGAAAACCGACAGGCACGTATTGTGCAGAGTACCGCATAAGTAAACTTGTGTTGCATGCACTGGCAGTTCTCATCGGAGTTCATGCGTTCTGAGAAATTGATTAAGGTGCACTATGCTCTGAAGAAGACCAGAGTTCCTTCCTTCATCACTAGTGAAGCGATCACTCGAGATTTTGCGCAGGTATGAGACCGCTCCTGTTCGTGCCGGTGTAAATACTCCCAACATGAATGCACCTATTGGAACAATGTATACATGGCATATCTATGCTGCACGGTGAAATATTCTCTATGGTTCTGTATCTGTTGACGTAAAAGGAAATGGTGGCTGCACGTTTGCAAACAACGGAGGCACTTTGCCGCATTGCTATCGTTAAGGGTGCAGAGCGCCAAAATTTAAGGGAAAAAAAAATACGAGCACATTATGCGTCTTTGTGCATATATGAGTTTTCTAGAGCATATACGCAGCGAACAAGCTCTTTTTATGTGAGTAGGCATAGTCTGGTCCCAAATGCATTTTCGATTTAGACCAACTTGACATTTCTCGATAATGATTACCTTGCCCTTGCAGATTGCACAATAAAACCTCTACAGTTGGAGTACTTCATTGCTATCAAAAGTCACCAAGCAACTATAATGTCAACCAAGGTTGCGAGAAAGTCTGCCTGAAAAATAACGCTTACAAAATCATGTTGCCAACGTGCAGCATAACTTACAAAAAAATGACTTATTGCGTATCGCAAGCATGCTTGAATGCTCACAGTAAAGTAAAAAATGGTGACTAAAAGCTATCACTGCATCAGGGCTGCTCGACGTATAGAGCTTAATATAAAAATCATTCTCATAGACATGCATCGCGAACATCAGCAGTAAAAGTGATTCGCTGAGCAAAGTAAGCAAGCAATACCGAAATGTCACTATCAATGTACAAAAACATGCTGCGTATACCTCTCGATCCTCGTATGTGGAGCCATCCTCGACTTGTGAAATGCACTTCGTCACGAAGGCTACACGATCTACGCCTTACAGAAATTACCAACAATGTTTTCTCCGATCAGGCGGGTCATCGCAATGATGCGTTTTCGAAGACTAATCTATTCAATGGTGCAATCAGGGGCCGTTGCTCCGGAAGGTCACTCTACATGTCTTTAACACCTGTCACCATGATCTAGTGACTAAGGGACTCTGCTGCTGACCAGGAGGTTGGGGGATCAAATCTAGCTGCATTTTGAATCGAGGTGAAAATGCTGTAGGCCCACGTGCTCAGATTTGCTTGCACGTTAAAAGAATCCCAGGTAGTCGAAATTTCTGGAGCCCTCCACTACCGCGTCTCATAATCATATGGTGGTTTTATACGTTAAAGCCTACATATTGTGGGGTCTCGAATTGGCGAACGAGCGCCAGGCCATGCTCTTGGAGTGAACGGGCACAGAAGACGCTGTCGGTACAAACCAACAAACCCATACACATTTATTTAACTAAGTTTAGAAGGACGATATCATCCGCCGAATCAATGCATCAATTGTAGTTAACACTACCATACAAACAACATAACACAGTAACACACCAAACACAACAACATACCCAAGACGGCGTCGCCAACGCTTGACTTACCACGTGGGCCCCCCGGCGCGAGGGCCCGCGGTGCCACGCTAGAGACAACCGTTTGCGGCAGCTGCCACGGGCAGAAGAGACTCGCTCAACTCTCGCCCGTCACCAAGGCCTGCCTTCCACCAGGGGTCACCGCCGGCGCTACCACTCTACCAACAGTGGTACTCAACGCGAACACAACGCCATCTATCGTCCGGCAGTTGTCACCCCTAAAAAACGGCTTCTGTGCGAGACAGGTGCACCACGCGGCGCAAACAACTTTACGGGCGGTGTCAGCACACCCACAATATTAATCAATTTCCTGTCGTTCAATGTATTTTACTATGATTACATTACTTACTTTCTGCACAAGCATACCCATAGGGAGAGGGGGTCTCATAACTTTGATATAGCAGTACATGTACACAATCTGCTCAAATTACCGCTGATAGTCACGGCACAGAGCAAAGCTGATGCCTGTTGCCCCCCTCCCCCAGTCGGGTTGGCGTGAACCGTTCCTGAAAAACATTTCTGGCTTTGCCCCTGCCGGTAACACACCTCACATGTACATTAATGGCTCACATTGCTCGACTATAACTGTAGAATGCAAATAACTAACAAGAAAATGCGTATAAGACATTGTAATAGCCTAAAAAATTGTAATGTGAGAAGTTTTGAATACTGAGTCCACACTAATTGCTTGCTTTGTGTTCATGATGAATATATAAAGTAAATCATGTTTCAAGAACGATAAATACACTTTCCACTAGCTAAGAATGGTATAGATAAATTTCATCCTAATCTCATTATTAGAAGTATGAAAAACATGATATTCAAACTTAAGTTGCCTGAAACTAGATCTCGAGAAAAACACATTTCAAAGGTATGAGTGAAAGCTCGTCTATGCAGCAAAAATATGTTTTTTAAATGATTTTTTTTCCATCATGAGAGCATACAAACCATGGTTATTTTGAGCATGTGGCTTCGGTGACTTGTTCATGCAAAATGCAATAGTAATGAGTCCCAGGCGACAATATACAGGAGACTCTAGACAGTCGGTTCATTGTAGATTTTTAAAAGCTTTTTAAAAGCGTATTTGACCTTCTCCGACATCAATTTTTTTTTACGTGCAAGTAGAGAAACTAAACTAAGTGTGAGCAAATAAGGACAAAAGATATGCAAACCTTCGAAAATAAACATTTTTTGAGGATGTGGCCTTGTCAAGGTGTTAAACTATTAATTTGCATTTTTTACATTTTATTGTTGATTTCCACTATTTATATAGAATACACAGTAAATAGTACTATCTATGCTTCCTAGCGTTTTTAAGTCTCAAGCAGTTATTCTTTGCCAGAATATGACCTGGCACAGTATGTAATCTTGATATGGGAAACAAATGAAAATGCTTATTTTGAACGACACCTCATACACACATTTGCAGCATGCTTGCTTTATAGCATTCCAAACTGCAAAGGAACACACCCGTTTTGGAGCAGGAGTACTTTTTGTGGTTCGAGCAGCCTTTGATGCTGCATAGCACCCTCCGTGGGTACTCGCAGGACGCCACAGCAGGAACAAGTGGGAACGGAATACCAGGAGGAAACACTAACAGCGTTTATATACAATACACAGTAAATAGTACTATCTATGCTTCCTTGCCTTTTTAAGTCTTAAGCAGTTATTCTTTGCCAGAATATGACCTGGCACAGTATGTAATCTTGATATGGGAAACAAATGAAAATGCTTATTTTGAACGACACCTCATACACACATTTGCAGCATGTTTGCTTTATAGCATTCCAAACTGCAAAGGGACACACCCGTTTTGGAGCAGGAGTACTTTTTGGGGTTCGAACAGCCTTTGATGCTGCATAGCACCCTCCGTGGGTACTCGCAGGGCGCCACAGCAGGAACAAGTGGGAACGGAATACCAGGAGGAAACACTAACAGCGTTCCAGCTTCACTGCTTCGTAGCAGCGACACTTTAGGCATGTCTGCCTTCTTGGCTGGCTTTTTGCAAGCACGAAGCCGAGACTCTGATTTTTTGAGCAGCCGCTCAATAGTCTGCTTCTTGTCTTTCTCTTTCTTCTCTTCAGCCTGCTGCTTTCGTTTTCTGGCACGCTGCATTCTGCGCTGAATCATCTCTTCAGTCATCTCCTGGATAGGCTCCACCTGTAATATACATTCATTTGCATGTCTGTAGCCTCTCTATAGATTGTCCAAATGCTACAGCAGGGTCATCTCTCTCTGCTTAAGTATCCGTACATGCTAAAAAGCATACAGGTGACATTGGCTGAGTGTATTATGTTGTACACACATAGCGAAACAAAGGCTGTGCTACTCCACAGCCAGCACAGAAGTTGATATCTATAAGCAGTTTCTTATACTAAAAGCTTGGCATCAATGCAGTAATGAAAATTTCATTACAGTATACCTAGTAGCACATATTTAGGGGCAAGCTCGTGCATTTTTTCAAAAAAGAAAACATGGCACACCATCAGCAGACACGACGGACCGTCTGTGTCTATGGTGTACTGTGTTTATTGTGTAATCCTTCCTTTTTATTACAATGTATCTCACAACCGAGGTTGTTCGAAGTAACCATAAGACACTAGCATAGCTGTCCGGAATTACCATGAAGGCTACATGCTTTTTAATTTCTTCTAACAGCTATTAGTGCTGCAAAAGGGCAACAAGTAATCAGCCGTGAAGCTGAGAACAGTTCTCTCATGATAGAAGCAATGCTATGCTTTGACTGGGACAGTCACATAAGTTCCTGCTTCAACTGCACTTTGCATGGTGCTCTTTACTACTGTAGCTTAGTCTATTCACATTGTGTATGCCACGGTTAGGCAAACAAAACTTTTATCCGATTCTATTGTTAAGAAGAAGATTTATTCACCGACAGCGGGTCTTGCTAGTGCCTTAAAGAGCGCACAGTCATGCAGGCCAACGGGTAAACTCGAGGGTCCAACCCACAACAACCACGTTGTCATCTTCCTCCTTTTGGGTGCCATTTCAGCTGTGCTGGAGCGACAGTTCCATGCACATATCATCACCCCGGCCGGTAAGGCACCGTCTTGGTGCCTGTTAAATGAGCGAGTCAGTGTTGTAGTGCTTGAGACGAGAAACGTGGACTACTTCCGTTCTGGGTGCAGCAGCCGATGAGTTTGTGGTCACGTCAATCTCGTAGACTCGAAATTGCCCAGCGTACCGCAATTGTAGTTTCTCGCAGAGACCAACACGACGTGATGGGAGCCACAGGAGAACAAGAGATCCAGCAGAAAAAACTGCATTTCTATCGACGGTCGTAAAGAAACTTTTGTGCTGTCTGCAATGACGATAATCGAGCGCGGGCTACCACACATGCCGTGAGGGCACGGGTGATGGCATCCTGAGCGTACGAAGTAGAAGATGGGTCGTCTGATGAAAGCAGTGTGTAGAAGGGCAGTAAGGGATGACGTCCGAAAAGTAGATAAAATGAGGAGTAGCCCGCTGTTTCATGACGCGACGAGTTATGGGCGAAGGTGACGAACGGCAGAGCTATGTCCCAATCAGTGTGGTCGGTAGATACATACATAGAAAGCATGCCTGTCAATGTGCGGTTTAGGCGCTCCATAAAGCCGTTAGTCTGAGGGTGGTAAGATGTGGTGAAGTTGTGACGGGTAGCACAAGTAGACCATCAACCACATGAGATAGAAAGTAGCGACCACAATCTGTGAGCAGGTGAGACAAAGTGCCATGCTGGAGAATAATGTCGTAGAGCAGGAAGTCGGCAACGTCAGTTGCGCGGCTGATTGGTAGTGCTAGAGTGATTGCATACCGAGTGGCATAATCTGTGGCCACTTCAATCCATTTATTTCCAGTTGTGGAAGCAGGAAAATGATTTAGCAAGTCTAACCGCACTCGATAAAACGGCTCGGCTGGAACTTCAATAGGCTGAAGAAGACCAGCAAGGGGAATCGTAGGCTTCTTTCGGCACTGGCAGAGGTCGCAAGATGCGACGTAACGACGAACGCAGCGGTAAAGACCCTTCCAGAATACTCGTCGTCGAACGCGGTCTTAAGTTCTAGAGGCACCTAGATGTCCAGAAGTTGGAGCGTCGTGAGATTGTTGTGGAACATCCTTTCGCAGGTGGTGTGATACAACGAGTAAAAGTTCCGCGCCGTCGGGGTGTAAGTTGCGGCGGTACAAAACGTCTTGAAGCAGGAATCTGCTAAGGGAAGGGTCAGTATGACGCACTTGAAGGCGGTCAATGATGGTGAACAGCGATGGGATCTCGGCGCTGTTCGTCTGCCACGTTCAGAAAGTCAGTGATGGCTAAAACGCCATCACTGACTTTCACTGAAAAGTTGGTGGGTCAACGGGGTGCCGAGATAAGCAGTCAGCATCGCTGTGCAGCTTTCCAGATTTGTACACAACCGAGAATGTGTACTCCTGTAATCAAAGTGCGAGAATGTGTACTCCTGTAATCGAAGTGCCCATAGGCCGAGTCTTCCTGTAGGGTTCCTAAGCGTCGACAGCCAGCAAAGCGCATGATGGTCCGTGATGACTGCGAACGGACGTCCGTATAAGTACGAACGGAATTTCGCAATGGGCCATATGACGGCTAAGCATTCCCGCTCAGAGATGGAATAATTTTTTTCCGCTTGTGACAGAAGGCGACTAGTGTAGACTATCACAGGTTGGTGGCATTCTGTATCTGAGTAAGTATAGCACCAATGCCATGGCCGCTTGCATTGGTGCGAAGCTCTGTTCGATTGGCTGGATCAAAATGAGCCAACACAGGTGGTGATGTGAGGACGGTAATCAGCGACCCGAAGGAATGTTCCTGGTCCTTTCTTCCCCAAGAAAAGGCCACATTCTTTTTGAGCGGATCCGTGAGGGGCACAGCAATATCCGCGAAGTTGAAAACAAAGCGGCAGAAGTATGAGCAGAGCCCAATAAAACTGCGAAGTTCTTGTGTGGAATGCGGAACCGGGAATTATCGGACTGCACGGACTTCTAGGGTCGGGTTGAACACCAGTGGCGTCAACAAGGTGGTCGAGTAGTTTAATCTGCCGGTGTCCAAATGCACATTTCGACGAATTCAGTTGGAGACCAGCGCAACGAAAAACTTCTAGAATTGCCGAGAGACGAGACAGGTGGCTTTCGAAGGAGGGCGAGAAAATGACTACATCGTCCAGATAGCAAAGGCAGTTCGACCATTTGAAACCGTGGAGAAGAGAGTCCATCATACGTTCAAAAATAGCCGGGGCGTTGCACAAACCAAAAGGCATGACCTTGAATTGGTAGAGGCCGTCGGGTGTGATGAATGCTGTCTTCTCCCGGTTGCGGTAGTCAACTGAAAGTTGCCAGTATACGGATCGAAGGTCAAGGGACGAGAAATAGTTGGTGCCGTGGAGGCAGTAGAGCGCATCATCGATTCGGAGTAGAGGATAAACGTCCTTCTTAGTGATTTGATTCAGGTGGCAATAGTCGACGCAAAAGCGCCAAATGTTGTCCTTTTTAACTAAGACCACAGGAGATGCCCAAAGGACTCGATGAAGGCTCAATGACATCTTTGCTGAGCATTTTCTCGACCTCCGTCCGTATAACTTGGCGTTCAGCATGCGACACACGGTAAGGGCGTTTGTGGAGTGGACTGGCGTCGCCGGTGTTGATGCAGCAGGCTACGGCACTTGTGCGGCCCAGGGGACGGTCGTCGACGTCAAAAATATCCAGGTAAGAAAATAGAACATTCCGGAGCGCTGCAACTTGGGAAAGTAAGAGGTCGCCGGATATCATTTTGTCGAGGAATGCGTTATATTGCTGGTTGATTACAGGTTTCGCCACGGCCTTAGTGTCAGGGGTGAAAAAACAAATTGAACATTCATCCGGGGTGAAAACATAGGCTAAAGTGATGCCTTGGGGAAGAACTTGGGTCGGCGTAGAGAAGTGCAGAACAGGAAGTAGCACCGTGTTGTTAGCAACAACCACTATAGTATGTTTTAGTGCGATGTGGTGCATAAGGGTCAAATCAATGAAGGGAGCCACCAGACAGTCTCCATCAGGAACGGACGGAAAGGGCGACATAGGAATGTACATAGTAGCCTGGGGCAGTAGCCGTAGAGACTCCATGGATCGTAGCCGAGTGCGACATGGAGGAGCAAAATCAGTGCACAAAGGCAATTCGAGCCGTAAAATACCGGTAGAACAATCGATAAGGGCGGAGTGGGCGGTTAAGATATCAATTCCAAGGATGACGTCGTGTGGGCAAGCATCAAGGACTGCGAAGAGAACGGAAGTGCGGTGGCCGGCAACAGAAATGCGGGCAGTGCACATGCTCAGCACCGATGTTCGACTTTCGTTGGCCACTCACGATGTTTGACTTTCGTTGGCCACTCGAACGGTAGAAAACATAGCAGGGGTGAGAACCTTTTTCAGGCGAGATCGAAGTGTAGAGCTCATAACAGATACTTGGGCACCAGTGTCAATTAGAGCAGTAACGACGAGGCCATCAAAGAACACTCGAAGTAAATTGCGTCTTGAATTTGTGGCCGGTTGGAGTTTTTGTTCCGAGTCGTCAACTCAGCGCCACCTTCAGGAGCTGCACTCGTCAGTTTCTCAGGGAATGACCAGAATAAGCCGGTGACGGAGAGCGGCGGCGTTGAGGGGAGCTTGACGGCCGACGACATCAGCATAGGACAGTTTGGAGCGTGGAGATGAACGGCGAGGTGAAGGGTCCTGAAGATGGTCATCCGAAAAAGCGGGTTACAAATAGTGTCCACGGTACTGACGGCGGTCGACATTAAGAAAGCTTGGCTGGAAATACCACCTGTTGCGGCAATGGCGGAAGATGTGCCCAACTCAAGAGCAAAAAAAGCAGATGTGTAAGTCATCGTGCGTGCGCCACTCAGATGAATTTCGGTAGCGTGGTGGAAACCGAGGAGTTGAAGCTGCCGGAGCAACAAGTGGAGCAGAGTGGTGGTCAGTGTTGTGAACGGGAGTGCTAATGGGCTGCGGCATGTGCTTGGCGGGCTAGGGAACCTGGACGCCCAGGTTAGCAAACTTCTGACGTTTGACGGCTTGAATAAGCGAGACTGTTGCCTAGTTCTCTTGCGCAGGAACTGATAGGAAGCGGGTGCCATGGCCTCCAGCTCTTGGCGAACAATTCTTGCGATATTGGCAGG